AAGCCAGGGACATAATAAAAGAAGAATGCAGACAGACACTTTCAAAAAGACAAAAAGACAAAAAGAAAGAGAAAAAAACATGGATGACAGAAAAAACACTACAAGTAGGAAAGAAAAGAAGAAAAGAAAACCAAAAGGAAGATAGGAACAAACTAATAATTATGAATGCAATAGTACAACAGTTTGTGTACAAAGATAAAGAAAATTACTACAATGACCAATGCAAAGAAATAGAAGACAACAATAAAAAGGGAAGAACAAGAGATTTGTTTCACAAAATCTGGGAAATCAAGAGAAAATTCAAACCAAGGACTGGGACACTCTATGACAATAAAAATAATATAATTCAAGATCAGGAAGGAATAAAAAGACACTGGATGCAATATACAGAAGAATTATACAAAAGAGATAATGAAATGAATGACACATGGAACAAAGAGCCATATGAAGATGAACCCCAAATTCTAAAACATGTGGTGGAAACTGCAATAAGAGAAATAGCGAAAAACAAATCACCAGGAATAGATGATATTCCAATTGAACTGCTGCAATCCATACTGACTGAGTCAACTCTAATGCTAACCAACATTTGTCAACAGATATGGAAAACAAAATGATGGCCAACAGATTGGAAGCAATCAATATACATCTTTAAAAGCTGCAGCAACTATAGGGCCATAGCACTGATCTCCCATGCAAGTGAAATCATGCTCAAAATTCTGCAACAAACATGGAGAGAGAAATTCCAGAGGTTCAAGCAGGGTTCAGGAAAGAAAGAAGCACTAGGGACCATATTGTAAACCTACAGTGGCTAATGGAGCACACTAGGAAATTCCGAAAGAAAATCAGCATGTACTTTTTAGATTATAGAAAAGCCATTGACTGCATAGATCATGAAAGGCTATGCAATGCCCTTAAAGACATGGGAGTGCCAGCACATCTGATTGTCCTGATGAGGAATCTGTACTCAGGACAAGAAGCTATTGTCAGAACAGAACACAGAGAAACAGAATGGTTCCTAATTGGCAAAGGAGTCCGACAAGGCTGCATTGTATCACCCTATCTGTTCAACTTGTATGCAGAACATATAAGAAAAGCAGGTTTGGATACAGAAGGAGGAGGAGTGAAAATAGGAGGAAGGAATATCAACAATCTAAGATATGCAGATGACACCATAGTACTAGCAGAAAACCTCACAGACCTGGAACACCTACTAAGGAAGATCAAAGAAGAAAGTACAAAAGCAGGCTTAATGTTGAACATAAAGAAAACAAAAAGGACCTTCACAAGTTCAAAGAGGACCTTCACAAGTTCAACCTAGACAATGAAGAAATAAAAATAGTAAAAGAATTCCCATACCTGGGATCAAACATTGATAGAAATGGGGACTGCAGTCAGGAAATCAGAAGATTAAGAATGGTGAGTGTGACTATGAAAAAACTAGAAAAGATTCTAAAATGCAAAGATATATAACTCAAAGTTAGAATCATACAAGCCATTGTATTCCCTATTACCATGTATGGATGCGAGAGTTGGACAATTAAGAAAAATGATAGGAAGAAAATCAATGCATTTGAGATGTGGTGCTGGAGAAGAGTGCTGAAGATCCCATGGAAGCCAAAAGGACAAACAAGTGGGTCCTAGAGCAGATAAAACCGGAAACCTCCCTGGAAGCCAAGATGACCAAACTGAGACTGTCGTACTTCGGACACATCATGAGAAGGAAGGACTCTTTGGAGAAGACAATAATGCTGGGGAAGGTGGAGGGAAGTAGGAAGAGAGAAAGGCCACATGCTAGATGGATAATTTCTATTAAGGAGGCCATGGATATTAAGAGGTTGTAGGAATTAAGCAGAGCAGTGGAGGACAGAGAGTCATATGACGTTATCACATGGGGGAAATCTGCTGGTTAATCCACACAAA